AGAACTTTACATTTCAAGTCTGGCCAGCCAATTCTAGTTTCAGCCTGAAAATACTAGTTTACTCTGACTGATATTTTTTGACTGATACTAAAATTGTAAGCTTTTTTTCTTGAAGATTTTTAATGAAATTTCAAAGCTTATAAATAGAAGCCCATTCAAAATTTTCTGTGATAATTTAGAAGTATATCAAATTTATTAGCATATTATTACAAGTTTATAGTTCAGAGAATCACACCTAAATGTAAAATTTCTAGCAAAGAAACATCCAAATTTAGTATTCAAATGTTTTCGGCCACTACTTTATTGGCCCTCTTCAGTAAATGTAAAACAAAATAACTGTTCTATATACAGAATGTAGTTGCATTCTAAATTTGCTGGAAATTTTGTGTTTAGGTGTGATTCTCTGCATATATAGTTCCAGTTTGCTTGTACAGTTGTTGTTTTAAGTTTATAGTTGTAAAAAATTTTTATATTACACTATTTTCATATTCATTTTGCAACAGTGTATTAACATATTAAACTTGCTTTCCATGTCATTCATTGGTTCTGTTTTACTGCTGGTCTTCTTACAATTTCTCCGTCCAAAGTTGACATCTTTCAAGGAAGAAAATAATTTGTTTGAAATAATTATCAGGGTATAAATAGCTTGCTACAACAATTGTTTATACTACTAAAAATTTTTACAAAGCAAGAACAGACTGATAACAGACTGGCCATAATATGTTGAAACATATCCATTTGTATAACATGTCATATTTTGTCTGTCACTTATCACATCATGAATTGGCCAGACAAAGCATAAATTGACACATTTATAGCTCTTTCATTGGACATTTGCCCCTAACATAAGTATAAGTTTTGATTAATAATACATAATAATCTAGTCCTCATAGGAGGGAGTGGGTGAACCCCACCCTGACACCAATTTGTGAGTAACGGGGGGAGGGCTGAGGTCTTACCCCTTTACTGGCAACAGTTTGGTAAAAACTGCTCACTGGGTCAATAGGTGGCGCTTTTTGGTTCTCCAATCCCATGGTATCGGGATCAGTTTGTCAGGTCAAGTGAAAGAGGGTGAGAGGGGTTGTCGGTAAGGCATATGTAATATACAAGTAATAGACATCTTTAACAAGGAAAATCAAAAATTCAATGAATAACAAAATTATAGAATTACAGAAATTTAGTCAAATACAACATCAGTTAAGCTATTCGTGTACACTTTAAACAAGAGGATATTGGAACTAACTAAGCTCTCACATACAAATTGAAGAACCGAGAGAGAGTTTATAATATTTTGGATAATATCATACCTCTTTCACACAAATTTCTGGAGGATTGTTGGTTATCTGCTCTTTTTGTGCATAACACTGATTAATTCTTTGTCACGAACCTATGAATGTGTACCAGTTAAGATTTTGAAGAGACTGCCCCGGAGGGGATGTGTTGGTCTTATATTTGGATCGGCATGGGAAAATGGTCATGTGATCGAGTGTTGTCAAAGACAAAGGGTGACTCTGCAGGTGTTAGGTCAGAGGTGAGAGGTATTCCTGGGACAATAAGATGGTGAAATAGGATGTCTACTGTACTCTTTGATACCTGCAATGTTAGATCGACCATGTTTGTATGGGAGAATGTTGATGTTCTCGAAGGAGTGTTATAAACTTTTAGTGGTTGTTGACAAGAGGGATGACATTTAATCTCTTTTTTGGTGATGTTATTTTAACGATCGCATTAAGAAGTTAAGTTAAAATCCTGTGAAAATTAGACGAAATATTCCTTAAAAATTCCAGATCTCACATTTTAAATACAGATAATACATTTTTAAAATTTTTCTTTAACATTAGAAATGATAAACATATGCAAGTTTAATGAAAATACTGATTTTATTAAATTAGTACAATCATACCTGTGTGTGTGAAAATTAAAACTCATGAAGAAAACTGAAGACCATGATAGATTTAATTAAGATCCCTTTTCATTGAATGCACACAAACATTTTCTACAGGTTTATGATTAAATTTATACTGTATATAAAGTTCATCAACCTTATGTAAATCTTGAACAGAAGTGAGAAAACTGATTTATATTGATTAACAGCTTGTTATTAGAAGATTAATTTATATACTGTATAGACCTTATTTAATAACAAGTTGTAATCCAATGAATGAATTAGTAAAACTAAGAAGTAGTTATTTTTGATTTATTTATTTTCTTTGTAATAAAAATTATAAGAATAAATTATTGTAATAATTTCAATAAGAATTATTGAAAGTTTTACTGTTTCTTAGTTAAACAAAAAAATTTAAAATAATAATAAATCACTTAATGTTATTTTGTTCAGTGTTATTTCATTATAATGTTGATGAGAAAAGGTATAAGTACATTTGTAATCATTTACAATTACTGCTGTTGAATTTGCTTTATCAACAGTAAAATTGGTCTTATGAGGTGAGAATTAAATGCTGGAAGTTACAAACACAATCCAATAAAAATATTAACTGAATTTTTAAAAAATTGATTAATATAATTTGTATTCAATACACTTTCACTTTTTTCATAAAATGTGAATCTATTTGTGATTGAACACAAATGACCTATGCTCTGGTGACAGTATAGAGAATTACTGAAAATAGTATTGGAGTCCAGAAGTTAATATTGTTAGGATACATGTCTAAACTCAACTTTTTTTTAAAGTACTTTAGCCAAATGTTTAAAAACTCTCATTGCTGATAAAATATTTTAAAATGGTTTTACATTGCATTTATTGAGTTTCTACTGTTGAGAGTGACTTATCAATGATATAGATGAATTATTGATGAATTAAATTGATATGTTATTGGGTGCATTCAGCAAATAGCAGTGCTGCAGTACTTTAATAAAGCGGTACTGCAATTTAAAACTGTATATACTGTAAACACAAAAAAAGGCAAATTATGCATGCACATTAGCACTTCACTTGACTTCACAATTTGTTAAAAAACTTATCCATTTTGGTTTGTTTTGATGACACTTTTCTGGCTACTGACTACTACAGCTGCTTGATATTAGCAATGTCATGTGCAGCCTTTAAGTATGTAATTTGTCTACAAGGATTTATTATACTGGTGATTTGATTCTACAATTCAAGAAAACATCAGAAAAAACCAGTCTTTATTTATTTATTTATTTTTTCTGATATGTTTTCTTGAACTACAGAATCAAATCACCAGTATAATAAGTCCTAGTAATAAAATAAAAGTCCTTGTAGACAAATTACATACTAAACATATGATAAGGACAGAAAGGTATACTATTTAAACTTTTTTTATTTGATAGAGGATATTTACCATATTGTTCCAAATATAGTATGATTCCAAGTTTCAAGAAGTGTTAAGGAAAAAAATAAAACTGATTATAGTGTGACCTTTATTTTTACGTCTGTAAAATTGTCTACAAATAGGTAAAGTTACCAGTGCAGCATATTTGTTTCCATTATTTCCAATTTTCATGTTGTCTCACAATTACAATGACTCTGAACATATCTCTGAATTGTGCATTTGAAATTTGAGTTAAATGATTTTATAATTTCCAAGATGTTGAGTCTTGTTTTTCAGCACAATCTGTGTCCACTATTTTTCCTTGCCTGAAAACTATGTAGAATACAGGTATCCCTTGTATAACATGGTACTTAGGTTCTGAAAAAGTGCCATGTTTTGCAATTTGTGCTATAGAAAACAAAAGACTAATACAAAACATGGGGTTACATTCCAAAAGTTAGTAATGAAAAAAATAGTATACTTTTGCTAAGAGAAATATGTTTATTAAAGCAATCCATAATTTATTTCCAATTAATAATTAACTAACAATCACAAAGTACTGTATTATGTGTAAATATTAATTTTAGTTAAACCAAGGCATTTTCTTTTTACAAAATAGTGTTGTCATCTCAGTATTTTGTTGATCTTGATCATTTCTGATCAAAACCAACAAAAATATCAAGCAACATCTTCATTTTTTTATTTTTATCATAAAAGTTTTTATGTATGACAAAATAAAAATATGTTATTACTTGAAAATTTGTTCAATCTAGGATTAAGCAATTCATTGTCCAGAATTTGTGTTTGAATACTGAATTGTTTGAATTGGGAACAGTTTGAGTATCAAGATACAGCTGTATTAAATGATTACTTACCTACAAAATTAATAATACACTTATGTAAAAATGTTCAAACAAACTTTACTAAATATGAAGATTAAGCTATAAAAACAAAACACAGTGACAGTCTTAAAGTCTGAAGGCAACAACAACACCACCTAGTTGATAGGACAAGGAAGAAAAAAAAATGCACTATCAGTTTTCATTAAACCTGACGAAAGGCACAAAACAAATTGAAAATTTCAATATTCTAAAAACCATGGACAAATTTGAGATAACACAAATGCTTATATGAATAAAAAATTTTGAATAATAGAGTTAGCACTTAAAAGTTGTAAAATTTTGTACAGAGAATTTCCCAAATTCTGGAGCTGTGCTAGAGCAAAACTGGGAACTGTATTGTATGGGGAATATCCCCAATTTTCAAACTGTGTTACAACAAAATCATGTTGTGGAAGTGGTGTGTTGTATGAAGGATACCTGTAAATATTACTTTGGCAATGTGTGAGCAGAGTAGAACAGACCTCTATTGGCAAGATGTCACAATAATATACTTATGAATCACATCATATGTGGGCTAGAAATGGGCTAGAACTTGCTCATGTATATTATAATCCTTTGCCTTGAAAAGTAGAAATTTTGAAAAAAAAAGTACTATATTCAGCAATATGGTTTATATAGATATTATTCTGATGCCTATTAAGTACTATATTTATCTTGCATATACAAGATAAAGTATTTAATACCTAATAATGTATGATAAGTATATATTTTTTAAACATTGATTTGAATTTTTTTTAAATTGATATAAAATTTAAATCATTTGTGATATTTTGTCAAAATATTTATTTAAAATATTATTTCAAAGGAATATATAGAACAACAGAAACAACATGAAGAAGAACAGAAAGTTGAACGTGAGCGTCGAGAGAAAGAAAGATTAGAACAGCTTAAGAAAAAAGAAAAACATGAACAAAGTAAAGTGTTTTATACTTTGTTAAATTAATTTAATTTTGATAGATATCAAAAACATCACTTTAATTTATTTTGAGAAATTTAATATATTTATTTTATTTATAAAATTTTCAGGTTTTCATGTAAATATGGCTTATTTAAAAATTTTACTTAATTTTTTTTAAAGAGTGAATTGTTAGAATTTTAATGCTGATGAAATAAATTAAGATTTAACCATCCTCAATTAATTAAATTTCTGGAAGGAAAGATTGGATTGGAGGTCTGGGTAGTGTATCTGGCAACATACCCACATAGTAAGTGGGAGTTGCAGGTTCGAGTCCATTGTGAGCCAATTCTTTTCTTCCAGAACAGTCTAAATTATTTATTACATATTACCATGGATATTTTTAAGTAAGGTGTATCTTTTTTAAAATGCACACATTTTAATTTTGCACATGCAAAATGTTTCCTGGCATCCCTTGCACACAAACAGATGCCATTTTGAATCATGTCAGCAGTGTGTGCTTTTTATGTTGTGTGATGGAAATGTTTAAGAAGATCAAGTGACCTACCATCTGTGAAATAAGATCCATTATTCATTTCCTAGCCGCAAGAAATGTGAAACCGGCAGAGATTCATCATCAGATTTATGAAGTTTATGGTCTGAATGCTAGGAGTGATAGCAGTTTGTAAGTGGGAGACTGTTTAAAGAAGATTGGGAGAATGTTCATGATGAACCATGTTCAGGTTGGTCATCTGTAATTGTCCATGATCTTGTCTGTGCTGTAGACACCATGATTCATGGAAACAAGCAATTCATGATTTCTATTTTATCAGTCAATTTACCAAAAGTTTCATGGTCAGTTCTTAACAAAATTGTGTCAGAAAACTTGGACTACCAGATATTATGCTTTCAATCCAGGAATGGTTATCATCTGAGGTGGCACACTTCTATGACACAGGTCTACAGAAACTGATCTCACACTGCGATAAATGTTACAAAAGCAATGAAAACTATGTGGAAAATTAGCTGAAAGTATGTGGAATCTAAGAAAAAATAAATTACTCTTAATGTTTAGTACTTCATTTTTTATTGTAAAACAGATATTACTTTAAAAATATTTCTTATAATTTAATTGTAATTATTAAATCTAATAAGAGATGGCACCTAACACCTATCTGTAGTACCAAATTATTTAGAATTTAATTAAAAATAATAGCTGTAAAGTATCCCAATTTAATCCAGCAATTGTTTGGCATATTACTAAAATATCAGGCTTTGGTATGTTTATACATGTAATGCATAATGGAAAGATTACTTGAATGAAGTGATTGAAATTAATTACTGCCATATTAGTTACACAAAATTAAGGAAATTTTGCAATTCCCATTATATTTTATTCTTGTTTCAATCCTTTTCATAGTTTTGTTTAAGCTAGTAGTGCCCTTGGTTAGGATCAGAAGTATTCAATACTCCTAACATTGGGCAATACAACAAACTAATGTGTACTATTTTCAAATTCCTTCTACATGTTTCAGAATTATTTGTAATATATCTTAAATTTGTATATTTATTTATATTTGTTACATGAATTATTGTTAATCAATTAAATATTGTAGCTTTGACTTATTGAAAAACTGTGTGTGATAAATTGATGAATTTTGACAGTAAGTTATTAATGATACACATGTATAACAATGAACAGAATATTTTATATTTTAACTCAAAAAGTCTTAATAATAAATCCAAAAGAACATATATATAGTTTGTGTGTCATTGACGGTGTCAGATTATATCAATTTACACACACAAATTATTATTAATGCATTATAACAGTATTGCCAAAAAACATGTTAATGTTTATTTTGTTTTTTGTTAAAAATTTTTTTTTACTGAATAGTTTCTGGAAATGAGTTAGCATACTTGAAAACATAAATACATTCAATTTTTCCCCCCTTGTTGTCAGAACCCCAATAAAGCAGTTGGAATTTCAGTTTTTTCTCTAACTATAGAGATTTATACAATTGTAATGTATCAATTACAAAATGACTGTTAATAAGCATACAGCTGAAAGGAAAAAATTTTATTTTGCTTTAATTACTTAAATTATATTTCTGAGATTTATAGATTGTTAGATTGATATTAATGATGACATATTTGTTATTTTCAAGTTTTGTGTTGATGTCTATCTCTCTCATATTTTTTCTATGTTATTGTTTAAATTAAATGATCCTGAAGTTCAATTTTCAAAAATTAATATTTCTTCACAGATAACTAATTCATATAATAATTAATTTTTATAATAATTACACAGAAAATTCAATATTTGACTTAGACATTTAAATTTATCTGTTATAAGTCATTCTTTTATTGGAATTAACATATGCAGAAAACAATTATGTTTTTATTTGATTCTTTATAATCTCTTTAAATTGTTTAAAATATTGTGTGGTACAACAAGGAAAGATATGCTTGTTGATATTATAATTTAAGAATTTTTAGATCATTATAATGAGGTTTTATGGAACAAAATAGAAACATTATTCTTACATAAAAATTATCTGAAATATTATATTAAATGTTAATATCAATAGAATACTAATACAAATGTTTATTACAGAATTTTTATAATATAATGATAGATGTGTTTTATGTAATACTATTACAGTCGACCCCCCTATAACACTGTTGATAATTCCGTTTTATATGAATTCCATGTTGTACGAGTCACTTAGATTTTACAAATACGTAAGCCGTTCACAGCCCGGCACACGTATTTGTAAAATCTAAATGACTCGTACAACATGGAATTCATATAAAACGGAATTATCAATAGTGTTATAGGGGGATCGACTGTAAATGCCTTTTTGATAAAATCGAATTAAATTTCTTTATATCAAGGATAGTAATGAATTAGTAATTTTTTTCCTTCTTAAAATGATTAAATTCTAACTTTTTCAATGAAAATAAAAATAATTTCTTTAACTGTCAATATATTGATTAAATATATTCATATGATACCATATTTAACATAAACTCTGCAAAGAACTATTTTTTGAAATTTTACATTTTTGTAAAGTATTTAAAGTACGTGTTTTTTTTTTACAAAAAAAATCCAGTTATGTTTATTATTGTAAAATTTTTGAAATTTACAATTCATCTTTGCTGTTCAATTATATACTTCATTTTTTTAACATATTTTAAAGAAATAGTTGCTACTGTACAGAAAAGAAGGTTAAGTAAAATTGGATTCATTAACATTAAATGTTAATAACAAGAATTTAATTTAGGTGCTATTGCATCATCAGAAGTAAAGCAAAGATTGCAAGAATTTGTTTTAAGTAAGAAACAAAGAGAAGCTGCTGCAGGTGGTGCAAGCGGAGCAAGATCTAATTATCGTAATTGGTATGTTGATAATTTTTATTTCTTTTTCCAATGAACTGGAATTTTATTTTATTTATAATTTTATGGAAGCAGTTAAAGTATATTTTTAATAAAGTAAATTATTTAATTTTATTATATGCTTTATTTAAAATAATTTTTTCAATACAAATAAAATAATTTTAAATAGGAACAAAAGTCATATATTAAGTAATGTTTATAAACAGACCAGATCTATTTAGTTTTAATGTTAATGCAACAGCATTTTTGACAAGACTATGTCTTGTTTATAAAATCGTACTGCCTGATTTTCTGACCATCATAGAGGTACGAAGGAGTACATGTCGAGAGTTGATATTTGGCACAGAGTATTAGGTACCCAAATCATTTGCGCATAAAAAAATCCAGACTCGTAGGTAGTCAGGGGACCGAGAATCGAGTCAAAATAAAATACAAAATGGCGACCCTCTTCTACAAACAGGTAAAACAGCCATCTCACCCCACCAAAGTTGGGTAGGGGAGAGTACCACCCACAATCATTCTAAGAAGTGAACTCTGACATTAGGACTGAGCATGTAGTTTCTTCTATGTTAAAAAAATTTGTAATCTAATTTTGTAAATTTGGGAGTGCTTCAAATATGATGTTAAAACAATTTTATGTCGTTATGGGTTTTTTTAACATTATTTAGTATAGTAAAATTGTAGGATTGATAAAAATTTGACATTATATTAGGGTTGTCGTTACATTCAATGACATTATAATTGGGTTAAACTGTACATTGTTTGTGCAAAATAAAAAAATAATTTCGGGTGATATAACAGCCATGATTATTTTTTCAAAAATGGGAACTTTTCATTACACATCGATAAAAATTCAACCCAGGCCGACACACAACAGAGAAAAATTTTGAAATTAGATAGGTTAATTTCATCGAAGATGCATTGTGGACGATCTCGCAGTTGTGGCCGGCGAAGTTTGAACGTCGTGCCCAAAAGCAGCAATATCAAAGAAGATAGGAGAATGAGAACAAGACCTGCCTTGAGCATGAAAGTGATTCTGTCTCTGAGACATAGTCTTGTCCCAAATACGGTTTTGCCGTTTTACTTATTTGTAATGGAATGGTAGTCATTCTTCCTTATTTTGATGTTTTTTTCATAAATTCTTCATATAATTTTGCTTGCTTTCATTCTTAGTAAGTAAGAAAAATTATTCTGCACCCTTAAAATGAAAACAAACTTTATGAAAACAATGTTCTCTAAAATATAACTGTAAATTGTCTGTTGGGAAATATCTGCTAATTTATTTTATAGACAATATAATTAAAATATATTAAATTAAGATGCAGAATTAATTATTGAAAATTGAGTAGTATTTTTAATATAATTATTATATGATAATAAATGTTTAACCAGTACTGATTCTGTAGTATTGATTATATAATAAATAATTCATTTATGATTGCTCTGTTTTTCACATAGTTTTTATATTTTTGTAATTTTTAGGTCTAGGAAGCATGCATCTCTTGATCAACCATCTCCTCCATCAGCAAGTTCAATCTCACCTCGTTGCAAACATGCATTATTGGGAAAATATGATGATGATTTTCCACTGAGAAAAACAGGTATGCAATATTCAAGCACTTTTAAATAGAAAACACTTTCACAATACAGTGGAACTCCATTTATCCCTGGATCCTGTTAATCCAGATTTCTGGTTTATCTGGATTATAAAACCCAATCCCTGTTTCAGAAAGAGAAACATATGGAAAACCTATAAATGCAAAAAATAAAAGAACTCCTAATTACATTCTTGCCTGAGTGTAACAAGAATAGACTTGTTTCTTATGAATTGGCATATAATGTTCATTGTTATGCATTCTGAGAGAGTGTTCTTTGAATTTACATAATATCTTGTTGAACCTTTTCTAATTGTTTAAAATTTCAATTTTTAAAATTTGCTACTTTGCTATTGAGTAAAAATGCTGTGCTTTTCATGGCAGTCAATGTGTTTTAATGAGTTTATCGTTTGTAACTGTGTGAGTTATTATTCACTCAACACCTGGAAGCCTCATTTGTTTTGCTAAATTTCAATCATCTTCAAACATTTGTGAAATGAAGTAAATACTGAAATTGTCATCTAAAGGAAAGAAAGTGGTTGTTTTGTTGAAGAAGAAACAAGAAATATAAAATAAAAAGTTTATAAACTGTGTTATTTATATCATTAATGACTTTTCCGGATTATCTGGATTTTTGGTCATCTGAATCAGACCTGGTCTTGTTAGAGCCAGATAAACGGGGTTTCCTATGTATACTTAAATTCTCTAAACTTAAAATTTTTGACATTTTTTAACATATTTGTTGCAAGTTAATGCAATTTTGCATCATGTAAAAATTACATGATGCAAAATCATTCAATTGGCAATGAATGTGTTGATAAATTTTTAATTCTTAGTTAATTAATTTTATCTATGTTTTTGAAGTAAAAACAATAATAGATATTTGATTTAAAAAAAAGAAATTAGATTAGCAAATACTTCATAAAACTGGACGATGAAACAGATAAAAAACCACAGTTCCTTTATCTAGCCCATCAGCTCTATTTTTTGTAAAACAAACATTTTCAATCTTCTCCTAAGATCTTCCTCGAAATCTTATTCAAAATGGAAAAGTATAAAGAACACACACTATTTCAAAATTTGAAACTTCCAATAAGAAACGTATATAAGATTGATGTAATTAAATCTTCAATGTTTATCAAAATGCACTTGCCATATGAGAAATGCATTTCTTTTCTTTATAATTGATACAGCCTCCAAGTTGGTCTGCTTTAAAGATCTTAAGGGCCTCCACTTCATCTTAAGGGCTCTCCACTTCTCCACTTCAGGCCTCTTTGATAAGTACATCTTATCAAAGAGGCCTGATCTAATTTTGCTATAACATTATTGTTCAATGCATATATGAATAGGGCCATGGATCTCTTCTTATGAGATATGTCATATCTATGTTCCGCCATCCATTTTTTCAGCAACCTTTTTATTAACCCTATATAAACTAGATAAAAAACAATATTGGGAAATGTGATTTTTTTTCCTTTTTCTTTTGTTTTTATGTTTCCTTTCTCTTTTATTTAACATTATTGTTTTCTTTTTAATATTGTAATATTTATATACATATTTACAGTTGACCCCCCTATAACACGGTAGATACGTTCTGTTCTTTATGAATTGATTTCTTACGAGTCCTTGCCAATCACAGCCCGACATGTGTGAAGTTTACGGGCTACAGCTGTTTGAAAGGTTTTCTTCCATAAAATTAATCAATTCTAGACTAATTCGACTCAGCATTTCCAAAATACACATTTTTTTTTTTTTTTTTTTTTTTTTTTTTTTTTTTTTTTTTTTTTTTTTTTTTTTTTTTTTTTTTTTTTTTTTTTTTTTTTTTTTTTTTTTTTTTTTTTTTTTTTTTTTTTTTTTTTTTTTTTTTTTTTTTTTTTTTTTTTTTTTTTTTTTTTTTTTTTTTTTTTTTTTTTTTTTTTTTTTTTTTTTTTTTTTTTTTTTTTTTTTTTTTTTTTTTTTTTTTTTTTTTTTTTTTTTTNGGAGACATCATTAATATAAATAATTTTAATCGCCGTTGAATAAGAAATGTTTCTTTCACAAGAAATGTATAAAATTACAGTACTGTATTAGACTTACGGTACCTAATTTACATACTGACAGACGATAGTTAGCGTAAAAATCTCCGTAGCGTGGCGCCACGCTAGACGGCGGAAATTATATATTTAATTATAACAAAGTTACAATAAGTTAATATATAATTATATATACAGTTCTTAATTTATATATAATTAATATATAATTATATGTACAGTATCTAATTTATATATAATACTGTACAGATGATAGTAAACTCAATTTATCCGCCTAAATTCTCTGTAGCGTGGTGCTGGATGGCGGAAAGTAGTTCAGCTGCCCAATGACATTTTACCGAATTATAGGAGTTTTTTTACCAGGTTTGTACGGATACCGTCGCAATTTTTTCACCGTCTTATAGGAATCATAATTATAGGAACCCGTGTTATAGGGGAGTCTACTGTATTTTGAATTCAAATAATGATAAATTTGTATGTCTTTGTAACTTTAAATATGTTCTTACATGTTCTATTAATATGGAACAGTTATTTATGTTTCAAAAATTTAAAACCTGGTGTTGGCCTGTCGAGCAGGTTGAAAACATTCATTGAATAAGTCTTTTCGCAGTGATTTAAGATGTTATTGTAACGATCATAATTTTTACATTTGAGAAAAGTGAAAACATGGAAAATGAAAAAATATTTATTGAAAAATTATTAATTAAAGGTTTGAGACAAGTATTGTACAGTGGAGTTGCATACAAAAATAAAAATAAATCATTAGAAATAACATTAAATATTCATTAAAGAGAGTTTAGACTAACCAGTAAAGTAGCCCAAAAACGAACATGAATTAAAACATTTTAAATACCAAACAAAATATTTATAACCCATCACCTGCAGAGTTATGTCTTTTTTTTTTTTTTTTTTTTGTATAGTTCTTTGTAAAAGCTGAAGAAGTAATCAGAAATATTTGCAGAAATTATATTAAATGTGATAATAGAAAGTAAGCTTTTTGAATAAGAGCATTACACTAGTAAAACTAAGGTCACTTTCAAGTTGGGAGTGGTTCACAAGTGGGGAAAAGGGATTACTTCAGTGTTGCTGGCTGTGAGCTCTGTCAAGCTGTGAAACATTAAATGCCTCAGAAAAACCCACACTGATTGAAACCATATAAATTGGGAATTACTTGTATATTGTTTTGAGTTCCTGATATGTTATATATGTTATGAGTTCTTGATATTATGTATATGAGAATCATATTAAAATGATTTAGTAATTGGTTATATAAATTGCAATGATATTCAGTGAGATTTTTAAATAAGAGAAATTTAACAAAAGCAACATTGAATTTGTTTGATTATAATTATTTAACAGTTAAAATGCTTAAAAGAAGATTAAACATGCAACTAATAATCTGAAATTTGTTTCTAGATTTAATGTTTTAATACCACTATTAATAATTTACACTAAATTTACTGATTTACTAACTTTTATTAGTAAGCTAATAACATATATTTAAGAAAGTAAATAAATTTCATAACAACTAATATACATTTTATGTTTATACATAACTAGCTGTTACCTGTGACTTTGCCTGTGCAGATTTTGCGAGTAAACCCCATTTATATTCAGTATTTCAACAACCATAGTAATTGTTATATAACACCTACTGCTGAGAATGATGAGAATTGTTAAGAATCAAACAAACTATTTTCAATTTGATCAATTTTCTGGAACGTTTACAATCATTCTATAATCGAATCAATATGCAATAACAAATTCGAATTTAAAACAGTTTGAATATTTGGTTAAAAAATTGAAAAATATAAAAACATTTATAACAATGTCTGAAATGTTATCAATTTAATACACCTAAGTACTCAATGAAAACTAAACGTAGTTGAAAACAAAAAATCGCATCTAAAATAATACAGTAGAAGCCATTCCTCAGGTTAAGCCTTAATCCTCTCCCTTTCCCTCCACAGGGAAATTGCGAAAAATTCCTTCTTAGTGTGCATTTTCATGACGTACTTTAACTGTATACAAAATTTCACCTCTAGGTTCATCAGTTTGCTTTGGGCGATGATGAATCAATCAGTCAATCACTCAGTCAGTCAGGACAAGTAATTTTATATATTTAAATAAATAAATTACTTGTTTTTTTGTTTTCATTAAATATTTTATGAATTATTTTAATGTAAATTATTATTGTAATTATTTTTACATTTGGTTATCATTACTTACATTGTTTTAAGTTTTAATTAAAATTGTTATCTTATGATTGTGATTGTTAATTAGTTTACCAATTAATGGCTAATTTTCTTTCATTGTTATATTTATAGCATCTGAACCAAACCTTAAAGTTCGTTCAGTTTTGAAACAAAAAGTTCTTGAAAGACGTAGCAGTCCTTTGCTAAGACGTAAAGATAAAGGCCCCATTCCACTGAAAAGGAGACCACCTACAAGTATGATAATTTTTTATATTTACATAAATTAACATTTAATTAATATTAAATACATATATAATGTCTCACATCAAGCTTATTTTACATATTTTTATATAAAATATGCATGTGAATAAATTTTTTATTTATAAAAGTAATCTATTAAATTAAAAATATATTCTGTGCCAGGGATCAGTAACATTTCTGTGGTGTTGTGTTGAACTTGAGTTAGTGTTATTCAGGTGCCAACATGATTCTACCAATATTGTTATATATTTATTTTTTTGTAATTTGATTTGAAAACAAATAAAAATAAACATATCAAATTTTGGCTTGATGTAAATTATCTCAAGTTACATAGATTGATATCAGGTTTATTTGAAATTTGATAGAAAGGTGTTATCTTACAAGGTCAGAGTAATAAAACTATTACTCTTGTGGGAGAGTAATAAAGTTGAATAGACTCAGTCCCTACTGAAAATGTCAATAAACAACTAATTGTTTTAAGACTGTAAACAAAAGCTCCCTTCCTGGTTAGAAGTGAGTCAAATGACAATGAAACTGTTTATTCTACTTTAAAGCAGGGCTTTGGAGCGACCACTTTTTTGAGTTGTTCCGCTCCAGCATCAAAGTATTTGCTCCTACTCCGCTCTGTGCTCCACTCCATGCTCCAATTAAAATATTCTTATAGTAATTACATTAATTTTTTCTTTGATATAAGTACATATGAAAAACTTGTTTATTTACAACTAATTTATTATTAAAAAATTAACATACAACCTTGTTGATTTCAATAAATAAAATGGCAGATAGCAGATCATCCTTCATTACCTATTATCACTTAAAAGCAATCTTAATCCAGAAAATACATGCTCAACACTTGCTTGACAAGTTGGCATGTGTGAAGCAACTCTGCATGCTTTTCTGATGTGCTCCAGATAATGGTCAATGGCTTTGAATACATTCACTTTAATCTACCCACATCCTCTATTGCATTGCAGTCTTTCTCAACGTGTTTGTCTATTTCGTTGTCATCTTTATTATGTATAGTGGAAATTCAATGACTGTTTTCTCTTCTATCCAATTGTTTTTCAAAATTATCTTCTTCTGAATCTATATTTATCATATCACAGGTTGGCTGTGACAGTTCAACAATTGTTGGCTTTTCAGCCAAATCAATTAGTGTTTGCCTTTTGATTCGCTGTTGAATGTCTGAAAGACCTTCTCTCGCTTTTAGTTTTTCTGCCACACTTAATAAGATTCTATACCTAGAATCAACATACACTTCAGCAAGAAAATGTATGTTTTGAATAAGCTTTTCTTTCTGCTTTTTCATGGAAGACAGAATTCCTAATGAAACATATCTTTCAAATTCTTCCATACATTTTTCTAGTTTACACCATTCTTTCATAAACATCTTGTTACTGTATCTAGGAATTGAGTTTTACCATACATTTTCAGCAAAACATTATGAATTGTTGGCGTTTTTTAATTTTACCACAACCTGTCAAATTTTCCCTAATATTTTTGTTATTCATTCATTCTTCAGAGTGTGAATCCCACACCTCATTAGATGAATTTTCGTATTATCATTAGTCCATGCTGGCAATATTAGGGAAGGATTTTTAACCCAATGTGGCGAAATGTCTACATTCATTTATTCGATGTCTTCAGTTTTTTCATCTTTATCCTGAAAAATATTTTCATGATCGCCAAGTTTATTTACAGCACGTGTCATGTTCGCTGCATTATCTACAGAAATACTTAGTACTTGTTTTTCATCGATTTCAAATTTGTTCAAAGTTTCTTTAGTTTGATTTTTCACATATAAAGAGTTATCTCTTCCTTCAGTATCGACAATATCCAATGTTTTTATTTCAGTTTCCTCGTTTTTTTTGTACCAAAATTGTACATTGATGGCAAGAAAATTTCTATTTCCACAAGCTGCAACATCTAGCTTTAACTCCACATCTGCAATCATCAAGAATTCAGAG